ACTTCATATGTCACCATCATCTCTCACCAGGATTCCTACAGAAACCTCATTACTTCTGCCTTTTAGTCCCCTCTCGTCCCCTCCTCCCTACTTTTCTCCTGGCTGCTCCTCCAGCACCCCAAGGATGCTTCTGCCTCAGGGCCTCTGCACTTTCTTCCAGATATTCTCATGCCCATGACTTCTCTTCCTCCAGGTGTCTGCTCAAAGGTTATCTCCTAAGTGAGGCCATTCCTCACCATCCTATATTTTAAGAAGTCTTCCCTCTGCTTCCCCTTAAATATGCTTTTACTATTCTCCATAGTACTAACCACAATCTGACATGTAGAAACCCTTTATTTTCTGACTATGCTCAGAATACATACTAGAAGGTAAGTTCCACATGGGCAGGAACTTTGTCTTTGTGTTCACTGTTGTAGAGTAGGTGTTCAATAATTATTTGTTAAATAAATGAATTCAGAAAATATTTACATCTATTCTACCATGTGCCAAGACTTTTTTTTTATATACATTATCTTTTTTAATCCTTAGAAACCTTTAACATAGGTATTACCATCGCCATTTAAAAAAAAAAAAAACAGGCTGGACGAGGCGGCTTATACCTGTAATGCTAGCACTTTAGGAGGCCAAGGTAGGAGGACTGCTTGAGCACAAGAGTTTGAAGTTGTAGTGAGCTATGATGATGACACTGCACTCTAGCCTGGGCAACAGAGCGAGACTCTGTCTCAACAACAACAACAAAACTCAGGTTTAACAAAGTTATATTACCTACAGTCACAAACTTCCAAGTAGAAGAGCCAAGATTTAACCCCAGATCTGAGTCTAAAGTCCCTTGCCACACCTTATATGTTGAAAAGATTATTGAAGTATTAAGGTTTTATGTTTCATCCAACAAATATTTATTGAGTACCTAAACTGACACGGACTATGATAGTCCCTGAGCATACAATGGTGAACTTGCCATCTAGAGAATTTGTGTCATTGAATCACTAACAACTAAGCAGCAAAAAGTACTAATTCTCTAGAATAAGAAACTAAAAGTCCACAGCAGCAGCAATGACTGGTTCTGACTGCCTTTCAGTATGCTAAAACTTACTATATGAGGGAAAATATTATAAAATACTAACTAAGAGGCTCTCAAATTGGGGGGGGGGATGTGTCAGGGTATCCTGCGGAGTTTCATGAAACCTCTACACAGGTTCCTGAGTTTCTAGCACAGAAAATGGGGGTGGAGAATACTGTGTAATTCTAAAATATCTTTTCTCCCTTAAAGAAGCACATCTTCTTTTCCTTATATAGCTCAACTTGTTTTTCCACTTTTGCAGTACTTGTTTGCCCAAAGGTGGTAATATGAGAGAGACTTATTTAGATATAAACTACCATAAAACTTTAAACATATAGGATTTTTCCCTAGAGACCCAAGGACAAAGGCACCATTGGAGAAAGGAGAAAATGTAAGGAATGTTACTATGCTAGACTTTACATATATCATCTCATTTACTTATCTGAAAAAATCTGCAAGCTAGCAAATCTTCAAAAGAGCAAACCCACTACATTTCCTATGCCAAGGTAATAAATGAATCTCCCCCCACTCCATCATCAAGGTAAGTCTTCCTCAAAGGGTCTGATGTATTAATACTTTAAAGTTCAGAAACGTCACACTAGGATCCCTGTGCAGAAATGAACCACTTATGACTACCTGTCTCATCCTTACCCCAATAAGTAACTCAAAAGTCCCTACAACCATATTTCCAAAGTGCCAGGTGAGTGGTGGGAAGCTAAGTCTATCCAAAAGGCAGTTACTATGGTGAACCTGACTCTGATTAGAAAGCAACACAAAAAGGCCTGGTAAAAAAATAAATAAATAAAAAAAGCTCTGGCCTGGGGATTAAACTCTAGCACTCTGACTTCTGTCCATTGTATTTCTGTCATTCTTGACCACATCATTGCTGTGTTATATCCCATGGCACCTAAGTCTATATGTTTACTGTTTTCTCACCACAAGAATTTAGTTCCAAAAAAAATAAAAAAGAATTTAGTTCCATGAGAATAAGGTGTCCGTTTTTTAATTCCTATCTCCTCACTCCCTGAACATGGGCACTGAATAAATGACTGTTGGTGGAATGAGCCGATGAATGAGCGAGCCTCGCTCTTCTCATCTGTAAAACGGAGATAATCTAGGCACGGGCTCGTTGGGGGAATTAAACGAAACGGCATGTGTTCGGCACACATGGGGCCAAAAAAGACATTACCTGCTCTGCATTTCCACCTGACAGGCTAGAAAGGGACATGGCCTCGGCCTGTTATGAAGAACAGGCCCCGCCTCGCCACGGGGACCCAGGCAACAGGCGAGAGCGATGGGAAACTCGGAGTTGTCACCCGACGCCGGGGGAAGGCAGGCAGGCAGGAGGCGGCGGCCGGGCGTTCGAGAGCGAGGAGGGGAAAGCTCGCGCCCGCACCGCCGGCAGGCAGGAGGCGGCGGCCCGGCGTGACGAGAGCCAGGAGGGGAAAGCTCGCGCCCGCGCCGCCGGCAGGCAGGAGGCGGCGGCCGGGCGTGACGAGAGCCAGGAGGGGAAAGCTCGCGCCCGCGCCGCCGGCAGGCAGGAGGCGGCGGCCCGGCCGGCGCGCGGAGGGAAGCGGGGGAGAGAACAGGCCGGGCCCAGCTTAGGAGGGTCGGAAGGGGAGGACAGCCCGGGCCCCGCGGGCCAGCGATCGTCGCGCTCCCACCCGGCCCGCGGCGTGAGAGCGGGAGGCGGTGTGCCCACCCTGGCCGTCACTCGCGTCCTTACCAGTTCCGAGCGCCTCTCCTGGCGATCCGAGAGGACCTTGGGCGGGCAGAGACACGGCCCAGCGCACGCCTAGGGCACAAGGGCAGAGTTCTCGCGAGAACACAACCTTCCCCGACACGCTTCTCGCCACAAGTCTGACAGTCTCGCGAGATCGCTGCTCGAGACAGCCCAAAGCCCTTGACCGCCCTCCAGAGGGCACACACTCCCTCCCGTCAGTGTCCTTTCGGATATCCCTTCGTGAGTAAATCAAATTAAATAATGAAGCAAACATTTTTTGAAGGCAGATTCTGTGCTGAGGACTATCCTAAGTGATACTCTCACATCAAATGTCCTCACAAGTTAGATATTGTTCAGTTGGTAGGTTCAGATGCAAAAATAAATGTTGGAAGACACAAAAGGCCATATATTGATTGTATGCTTCCACTTACATGCAGTACCCAGAGTAGTAAAATTCATAGAGACAGAAAGAATGGTGGATTCCAGGGGCTGGGGGACGAAAGGTGTGGGGAATTAGTGTTAAATAGGTATAGAGTTTCAGTTTGGGATGATGGAAAGTTCTGGAGCCTGATGGTGGTAATAGAATATACGACAATGAATGTACTTCATGCCACAGAACTGTACACTTACAAAACGGTTAAAATGGTACATTATGTTATGTAAATTTTGCCAGAATTTTTTTTAAAAGGGTGGAGTAAATAAATGAATGTGAGAGCCCAGACTCTAATCCACATCACCGGACTCCAAAGAATAGCCTTGTTTGCACCCATAATGTTCCACACCTTGTAGCCCACCACATCGTACCTCCCTTCACATTCTTCCCAGTATGGCATTAGCCACGCTGGAATTTTTTTATTTGTTTGTGACCAGATGTTAAAGGGGGACTCTTTCTGCCTCAGTTTGACAGAGGTTCCCCATACCAGGTGCCATCGTTTCTCCACATTTCCCAGCAAAGGAAATGATCAGAGTAGGGTTTTATGGATCCCACCCAAGAGTGACTCCTACAAGGGGCAAGGCAACCTCAGCAGAAAACAACAGGAGTCACAAAAGCTAAGAGAACAGCTGTGGCCTGAGTGTGAGGAGAGCTGTTGTGGGGAGTGGGGCCCACAAAAGCCCCATGAGAAAGGCAGCCTCCAACACAAAGGTGGGAGGAGCCAAGACTGCACCATGCCCTTAACTCTTCTGTCCCCCATTCCCTCTTCAATTCAGATGTAGACCCTGGAATGAGACCTTATGTAACTGAAAGTGACCAAAGCACTTTTTTGTTATCTGATGGTGACCACAAAAACTAAGGGACCTGCCTAGGTTGCTCATCTGGCCCACATAGCATGTTTGAACAGATAGGGTTAGGGCACAGGGGGAAATAAAACTCTTCATCGGTTACCCACTGACTGTCCAACAGATGACTGTTTGCTTGTTTATGAGCTGTCACGTACACACAGCTAACTCCAAACCCGGGGACATCAGGGATCTAATCTCTCTGGTTCACTGCTGTATCTCCAGGCCCAGAGCACTGCCTAGCCCAGGTACTCAGTATGTACTGCTGATTGAACAAATGTTCTCTAGCACAGACACTGTGAAAAGAGTACAGATGTTGTCACTGTTTAAAGTCACTAAGTTTTGGGTGGTCTGTGTGCAGCAGTAGATAATTGATACTGAGGCCTTGCACCGGGCCATTCCCCAACAAGGCAGAGACCTGGGCTTTTAATTCCCTGTCAGGCTGCATGTGGCCTCAGGGGCCATTCTTCAGGCTGTTCTGCTCTAACTTGCTCTGACCTCAGGCAAACACAGAGGAATGTGGGGACACAGCATAGAGGATACCTCTGAAGAAGAGGAGGAAAGGGTAAACATGAACACCTCAAAGAAAAGAAGGGATCTCATTTCATGTTGAAGGCACACTTAGCTTTTTGTATTCTTCATCGGACAGCAGGACATAGGCAGCAGAGCACAGATATATCAAAAAAGGCAGAGGTGACAGTGGTCCCCTGAGTAGGAGGACCTATTAGAGTGTAGGAAGAATAGTATAACTTTTATTCATATTTATTTTTTGTCTCCCTTTTTAAACATTTGTATGCTTTATAATGTACCTTAAGTCAATGCATAATTTATAAATTAAAAGTATACATATATTCAAGTGTTTGCTCAAAAATGTTTTACTGATATAGGGCTACACAATTATAGACTATTAGAAGCCATGGGAGAATGCGGCCAGGCCAGAGAGCCCTGGGCCCATTAGAAGCACATTACATTATCCATGCTTTGACAAAACAGGTCTTTTCTGGGTTCTCCTTCTCCACCACGGTAAAGCTGCAGTTATTCTGGTGGAAGATTTTCTTGCACTTCTTTTCATCATAATTCATGGGTTTGGAAACACTGTCAGTGAGACAAGATCAGGCTTGTTAGAAGCAACTCCTCCCCCAGGCTAGCTTTGTGCAGGAAGCAGCCCACACTCCATCTGGCTAGGATGCCCCTCTCCAACTTAAGGGCACCCCTTGGCTAGAAGCCCCCAAGTGCTGTCTATACCATACAGTCATATAGACCACCCCTAACATTGGGCCTACATTCCATCCTGCACACAGAGAAGGACAGCAGTAAGTTCTAGCAGCCCCAGAGGCAGGTCTGAGCTACTTTCTGGCCGGGCATGTTGTTGCAGCCTGGCTCTTCTCATCCTCCCTATTCAGGAAATGGCCAGCAGTATTATTGCTAGAATGTAGGAGGGAACACTTGTCCCAGGCCTGGTGTGAAGGCCTGTAGGAAGACGAGCTGTCTCAACTAACAAAAGCAAAGGGTCATTCCAGGACAGGGGTCATGTAGCCCATGAAGAAGCTGATAAAAACTGGGGACAACCTCCCCAGAAAAATTCACTTACATGTTCAGTGGTGCAAACAATTTTAGGGTTCATTGTCCCCTTGAGGCCCATTCATAGGCCCCAGATTTGTTTGTTTGTTTGTTTGTTTGTTTGTTTGTTTGTTTAGGAGACAGAGTATCACTCTGTTGCCCTGGCTAGAGTATCAGTGGTATCATCTTAGCTCACTGCAACCTCAAACTCCTGGGCTCAAGGCATCCTGCCTCAGCCTCCCGAGTAGCTGGGACTACAGGCAGGCACCACCATGCCTGGCTAATGTTTCTATTTTTAGTAGAGACGGGGTCTTGCTCTTGCTCAGATTGATCTCAAGCTCCTGAGCGCAAGCTATCCACCAGCCTCGGCCTCCCAGAGTGCTAGGATTACTTGTGTGAGTCACCACGCCCGGACAGACCCCAGATTTAAATTGGCCCTGCCCATAGTACACACGGAAGCAGCCATTCCCAAAGCCCTTTGTGACTATGTTTCCTTCCAAAGGTAGCCCTTGACTTTTATTTTAACTAAATAGGATATACATGCCAGTCCTCTTCCCAAAGCCATCCTCACCCAGTGTCATTCTTCTATCCTAACTACTTGGCTCCCAGGACACCTGAATTTGCAGCCCTTGGTGGTACAAGAGGAGAGAATAACAAGAAGCTCTGTTCATAGCCAGCAAGACTAAGGCACTTGGCACTGAACAGGAGGGACCAGTTACAGGGCAAACTCTCAGGATCAGTCCTACAAACAGAAGCAAACACTGAATTGTGCCTTCAACACTATAACTTTGGTTTAAATCTTTTTGAGACCAAGAAGTGGTTAAGTTGTAGTATAGAAAAATATTTCAAAGAGTTTTAATGAGGTGAGGTAGTCCTAATGCTAGAATATAAAGTGGAAAAAGCAGACTACAAAATTGCAACATAAAGTTTGATGTTTAGCCCAGGTCGGAAACGGAGCAGGTCAAAACTCCCGTGCTGGCCGGGCGCGGTGGCTCACGCCTGTAATCCTAGCTCTCTGGGAGGCCGAGGCGGGCGGATTGCTCGAGGTCAGGAGTTCGAAACCAGCCTGAGCAAGAGCGAGACCCCATCTCTACTATAAATAGAAAGAAACTAATTGGCCAACTAATATATATAGAAAAAATTAGCCGGGCATGGTGGCACATGCCTGTAGTCCCAGCTACTTGGGAGGCTGAGACAGAAGGATCGCTTGAGCCCAGGAGTTTGAGGTTGCTGTGAGCTAGGCTGACGCCACGGCACTCACTCTAGCCTGGGCAACAAAGCGAGACTCTGTCTCAAAAAAAAAAAAAAAAAAAAACATTTTGGAAATAGTGGTGATGTTTGCATAATATTGTGAATTTACTTAATGCCACTGAATCATACACTTAAAATGATTACACTTTAAAATGATACACTTTAAATGATTAAATTGGCAAATTTTATGTAATATATGCTACCACAATAAAAAATGTTCAAAAATAAAGTGATTGTTATTGAAAAGATATCAATTCTTTTAGAACTTTGTGGTAGGAAATGAAATTGTGTAACTCGCAGTCTGTGTGCAAGTACAAGTTGCCACCACAAAGGGCGTTTTACCAGATGCTAATTTCAATTGAAACCAGACCTAGCTCTGTAGGCAGAGGAGCAGTTAAAAGAGAGTAAGATGGGAAACCACAAACATCAGGCACCCAGGTGCCTGGAATCAGTGGCTGGTGACCTTGGCCCCTGGCCCCAGTCAGGGAGCTAGCTTCAGGTTGGGCAGTGTAGAGACCAGGATGTCCCCACGCCGCTGCCCAGGAGCCAAGAGCCTCTCCACTGTCAGTGAGCACCTTGAGATTTGGGCAATGTCCTGTAGAGGATGCAATGAGTCCAAAAACTTCTCCCAGAGAAAGTTTAATCAAAATCTCTACTTTGCTATGGCAAAAGAAAAAACAAAATTCTCGGGACAAACAAACTTGGTAGGAGATGAGGCAGTTGCAGGAAAGAAGGAGTTGGTTCATTCCCCTATTGGGAGCAGTATGCCAAATGGGATAGGCCACATGAAAGGGAAGAGGGAGAGGACACCTTGAGCCCTGATCAGGTGACAGGGACTGCCCCAGACTCCAGGACACAGAATTGACACAAAGAAGGCATCAAGTATTTGTTGGGTTGGTGAATTTATATGCAGAATTTCATTTAATTCTCACAGCCACCTGATTATCCCTATTACACGATGAGGAAACAGAGGCTAAGAGAGATCCAGAATCTTACTCAGGGTCACACAGCTAGTCTACAAGGGAATGGATATTCAGACTCAGGTTACTCTGATTCCAGTATTGAGGCTCTTCCCACATCACTGCAAGGAGCAGCCCTTGCTCTCTTTTCTACATTGGGTCCACGGGAATCTTAGAAGAGGGTCATATGGATGCAGCTGTGATAATTGCTGCACCAACAGGGTGAAGATGCCTAGCCCGGATGGCACGGATGTGTTGGCCACCACAGAGGCAAGCTCCGATGTGAGGGAGGAAAGCTTCACCAGCCCTCTCCCTGGCTGGGATACAATCACACTCCAGAGTGACATTGACACTTGATAACAAAGACAATGTCACATTTCTACAGCCACAAAATCAAGAGGCAGCTGTAATAGCCCATGCTCTGGCCAGCGCAATACCCAGGAGCCTGCTGGACAGCGAGCCAATCTCCCAGTCCTATATGCCTCTTATTTCATTAAGCACTTAGCATGGGCCTGCTCAAAAAGTGTAGTTGGACTTTCCAGACATTTAAACTTCAAAATTCAGCAGGACTCGGGTGTTTTCAGTTAAGTCAAGAGCTCCCTCCTCTACTCACTGGTGTTGTCATAAGGCACTTGTTAAAATTCAGAGTCCTTGGCCAGGCGCGGTGGCTCACGCACGTAATCCTAGCACTCTGGGAGGCTGAGGCGGGCGGATTGCTCGAGGTCAGGAGTTCGAAACCAGCCTCAGCAAGAGCGAGACCCTGTCTCTACTATAAATAGAAAGAAATTAATTGGCCAACTAATATATATATATAATTAGCCGGACATGGTGGCACATGCCTGTAGTCCCAGCTACTACTCGGGAGGCTGAGGCAGAAGGATTACTTGAGCCCAGGAGTTTGAGGTTGCTGTGAGCTAGGCTGACGCCACGGCACTCACTATAGCCTGGGCAACAAGTGAGACTCAAAAAAAAAAAAAAAAAAAAATTCAGAGTCCTTGGCTCCTCCCCTGCAGATTCTGATGGGTAAGTTCTAGGGTGGAGCCCAGGAATCTGTATTCCAGCAAGCTTCCTGGATGAGTTTGGACCAGACAAGTTTGGGAAATGCTACATCACAGAAATGTTTCTGTCATCAAAGCCACTCCTGTTCTTGCTAAACACTACAGGCCAAGGCTGACGTGAAGAAGTCAGATGGATTTGGGGCCCTGGGGGTGAGGTGGCTGGTACACAGATATAGCTATGGAAGAAACAGTTAAATTAGGACCACATTGCAGGTACTCTATGTTTTATCCACCAAAATACTAGACCTCTGGTGTCCAGGGCAACCCAGCAGAAAACATCTGCGCAACCTTTGGGCTGACTTGAACTAAACTGAGCAGTGAAGCAACATAAGATTTATAGTCGAAGGCACACTACAGATAATCCCTTACACATCACTTCTATTCCCTCTGCCTGTGCTCAAAGCCAGCCCAGTTCTTGCAAATCTCCAAGGCCAAGGCTTAAATGATGACCAGGCCAACCTTTAGAACAGCATCAGACCACTGGATACACTTTCCTGTCTTCAGGAGCCCATATGGATGGCTATAAGTATTTAGGTTCTTGTCAAGTAATAAAGGTTCTTGTCAAGTTTCAGAACCAACTTAAAAGAAATAAGACTGAGCTGAAAGCAACCCACATGTTCATCAACAAATGAATGGAGAAGCAAAATGTGGTCTATCCATATGGTGCAAGGAAATTCTGGCACATGCTACAACATGGATGAACCTTGAGGACATTATGCTAATTGAAATAAGCCAGTAGCAAAAGGACAAATACTAAATGATTCCACTTACATGAGAGACCTGGAGTCATCTCATCAAATTCATAGAGACACAAAGCAGAATGGTTTTGGGAGCCTAAGGCCAGAGGATCACTTGAGCCCAGGAGTTCGGGGTAACAGTGAACTGTGAGCATCACACCACTGCACTCAAGCTTGGGTGACAGAGCAAGATCCTATCTTTAAAAAAAAAAAATGAAATGAAAATAGAATGGTAGTTTCTAGGAACTGGGGGCAGAATGGGAGAGGAAATGATTATTTAATAGGTACAGAGTTTCAGTTTTGCAAGATAAAAAAGTTCTAGAGATGGATGGTGGTGATAGTTGTACAACAATGTGAATGCCACCTAAAGTGAACACTCAAAAATGGTTAACACGACAAATTTTATGTTATATATATTTACCACAATAAAAAAGGAAAGAAATAGGACTGAAAACTAACCTCCCATCACAACACCAAGAGTGAACGCTAATATAAACTATGCACTCTGGGTGACAATGGTGTGTCACACATTGTAATAAATGTACTACTGTGTTGGGGAGGCTGATGGTGGGGAGGCTGATGGTGGGGAGGCTGATGGTGGGGAGGCTGTACACGCATTAGGGCAGGGGTTTATGGGAAATCTCTATCTTTGCTTAGTTTTGCTGTGAATCTAAAACTGCTCTAAGAAATAAAGAAAATAAAAGAAATAAAATAAAGAAATAAAAATCTATTAAAAATAAACTAAATCCCCTGAAGGGTGGGAGTTTACAAGAGGGAGTAGCTGGTCCTCAGAGAGCAGCTACACCCCCTGTTGGCCGCCATTGGCTTGAGACTTACACGCTGCAACAGTGAATTCCATCTTCTTCGCAAAAGCACCTTTCACAGTTGCGATTATTCCACACTGCCTGGAACCGGTGTATGGTTCCATCACTGCCCTTGCATTCTAAAACAACACAGAACACCATCAGTGCAAGCCCTGCGGCGAGAACAAGCTCTGTCTGGACAGCCCCTACTGTCAGCACTCCTCCCACACAGGGAGCAGCTCATGAAGTCTGAAGGTGTCTTGTGGGGACTGGGTCTAGAGGAAAGGACGGATAGATGGAAAGAACATGAGCAGATGAATGAAGGTTCAGGTGAAAACACCTGCCCGAAGCTGCTGCTTTGCTGTGTGCAAAGGTCAGCTAAACAGAGCTGACCTGTATGGAAGTTGTTAAAGAAATTAGCAAATGTCCCTGACCTTTTGCACGTGTCCTTGGAAATAAATACAGGGAGGAACTTAGCTGAGGGGGCCATTTTCTCCTGCAGACTTCAGCCTCTCCCCCTCTGTCTAAACACTGTGTGTTTCGAGTAACTGTTCCTTCGCTACCAAGCGCCAGAGCCAAAAGCTGCCGCTACAGAGTCTAAAGAAGGTGTTTCCGTATTCACTCATGGCTAAATTCTGGTACTGTCCAGTTTGTGCCACAGATAATGTTTTCTTACAGTAAATTTACATCCTTCCAGATTTTATTTTACATTTCAAGAAAAAAACAGGGCCCTCCATTTTAATCTTGTAGTTATTATGAGCCTGGAGGTACCCAGGGCTAAATTTTTTTCCTGCTAGATTATCTCTAGATTATAGAATTGTCACTTTTACATTTTTCTTTGCTTTGTGTCAGTGGTTCTCAACATCTTTGGTACTTAAAAAACATCTATGTCTGGATCCCACCCCAGGATCTCTGGATGTAGGGCCTGGGCCACTGTATTTTTAGAAAGCTTCCCAAGTGATTCAAATGTTCCACAAAGGGTGATAACTTCTGCTTTAAATCCTTGGTGGTCTGAGTATGCTTGGAGGACCAGCAGCATCAGCATACTTGGGGCAGAGTCTCACACTTGCTTCCAGGTATGCTGATGCTGCTGGTTTAAACCTGCATTTAAACACTATTCCCAGGGAATTAGCATGCATATTAAAGTTTGAGAACTACTGCTTTGGAATAAGAAATCATTCTCAACCCTGTCTGCACGTAAGAGTCAACCAAGGAGCTTGTAAATGTGCAGCTGTGACCTCAGAGACTGTGATTCACTTAGTCTCAGATGGGGCCTGAGCATCGGTAAGTTTCAAAGCGCTCTAGGCATCCTCTACAGCTAGGGTTGAGAACGACCGGCCTACATAAAAGGCAGATTGAAGTACCTCAGTTTACTAGCCCTCTTTCTCATATAGATCCAAAGACTTTCATCTGCCAACAGGTTACATCTACCAGGCTGCAACAACATAGTAAACTTTGGAAAACCAGGACTTACCGCTGGAAGAAGCACCTACAGTTCCCTCACGCGGTATGACACGGCACTCAGCATTGCACAGAGTCACGAAGGTGGCAAAGGCCAGGAGGCTGCCCAGGAGAGCGTTCTGCAAGGGAAAGAAGGGCCCAGCATGGAGAATGAACGGAGTCAGGGTAATCCTTGCCTGAGTGTCTGCTCGGGGATTCCTGCTGGGCTCTGGCAAGCGGTTATATAGGTGGAGCTTCTGCCCTCAGGCAATCTAGCAAGGGAACAAGACCTGCACAAGTCACTAACACAAACTCCAGAAAGAGTGAAGTCAAAAGTCACAGAGCAATAATGATACTGTGCTATTTCATTACAGAGGAAGCTCAGAAAACCTTTGCACATAAGGTGATTTTAGCTGCTTTGCAGAATATATAGAATTTAAAGGACAGAAGTGAGGGCATGGAAGAGAGTTCCATGAAGAGAATAAAACATTGACAAAGATATAGAAGCAAGAAAAATAGAGTTGGAAGCCTGAGGAAGCTAACTAGGGTAGTTGGAGAAATGACTGGAAAAAGAGGTTAGAGCCAGGTTATAAACACAGACTGTGAGGCTAAGAGCTTCATTTTCCAAATAATAAAAGCATCTCTGGTGGCTACATGAACAAACCAATTAATCTAACTGGAATCAGTAGGACAAGGAAAAGTATCAAGTTGCTCTTGTCATCTTTTTGAGATGAGCTAAATAAACAAACAAACCTGAACATGGTAATTTCCAGGAAATTTTCTAAATGGAAGATGATTTTAAATGAAATTTATAGGCGACCACTGGTTTACACGGAGCTCTTGCACCAGGCCCAGCAGATGAAACCAAACGAAGTCACTAGTGCTCTAGTTCCCTGCCACCAAGCTGGAGTCACTCATGCGCAGGTTCCCTGCCTCCAGCCAAGACTGGGTAGTCCATATGACCTTCCCAGAAGCCAGGAAAGAGAGAGAAAATAGCCATAGCCCCAAACAAGTCAGTTTTAGCCAGCATGATAAGGAAATCCCCTCTGCTTTAACCTTTACAAGGAAAGTCGCCTTGAAAAGACCAATTTACTTTTTGTTCTCTGTGCCTGCTTTCTTCAACCCTTCTCTGTCTATAAAGCCAATCATCTGCTCAGCTCATTAACACACTCAATCTATTTTCTAGAATGAGATGTTGCCAATTCTAGAATTGCAAGTAAAAGCCAATTATAATCTTTAAATGTGTTGTAATTTTGTCTTTTGACAATGGAGATGAGGGTACTTATTCTGTAAGATGGCTAAAAATACTTATGAAGTGATGCTACTGGAAGTAGTACATTACTGTTATAAGATTAGAAAGACAAATATAGAGATCACAATAGAAAAACCCAGTATCTATGTATATTTTATATATATATAAAATGTATATGTGTGTGTATATATATATATATACACACACACACACACACACGCACACACATAGATCATGGCCTGAGATCTGTGGAGAATGATTATTCAATAAATGGTATTAGAACACGGGGACTACTTGGGGAAAAAGCAAAGTTAATTTCCTACTTTACTTACCTTATGAAATAAATTCTAACAGGATTTGAGAGTTAAAATTTTACAATAAGATCATAAGATAATCACAGAAAATATAGGTAAATATTTATCTTATTCCAAGCATAAAAGAAAAATACATTTGAGTATGTAAAAGTTTTAAGAACATAAATGAATTTAAAAAGATATCAAATTTGGAGAACAATATCATTATATGAAGAGTTTCTAGGTACCAACAGAAACACATCTTAGTAGAAAAATGGAAGGAAAACAAAGTGGCATTTCACACACACATACTCAATAGAAATGATGATTAAACACATGAAAAAGTTCAAGTTACTGATAATAAAAGAAATGTAAATACATAGCCCAAGATGTTGACTGTTCTGCCATCTTCAGTCCTGTGTGACAGATCACAGTCCCTCTGCCAACCCACAATGTACATAAAGCATAAGCAGGAAATACATGTGGGTTATTTTATCCCTTTGAGATTTGGGGAGTTATTTGTTACTCCAGCATAACTTAGCCAAACCTAACTGATACAACCAATCATGGGCAGTCTGAAATTAAAATTATGGTTGTTATTGTTATTATCCTAAGATTACTACTGTTACTACTACCTATAATAATCTTTTTATAACAAATAACAGGAAATATGTAGATAAAATAGAACCATAATGGGATGACAAGAATAATGATTTAATTTAAAATACTCAGAGGGAAATAGAGGCATATATGGGAAGTGACATGCGCAAGGATCACTTATGTTGGAGCAATTGTTATGGTGAGCAATTTGATAGTATTTATCAAAATTCTTAAAACCATTTACAACATCTGATTTCACCTTTTCACCTCTAAGATTTGATCCTAAGAATGGCACACAGACCAGGATAAACTCCTCCACAAGGATGATCACTGTAGTGGAAAAATGGAAAGAAACAAAATGCCTGAGAACAGAGCTGGTTGAGAACATGGTGACTCAGAAAAACACCTGAGAAGCCAATCGGAGAAGGTGAAACGACATGGGCCAATGATCACTATGTATCATTCCGTGAAATGAAGCAAGTTACAAAATTGCTTGTGTGACACGATTCCTATGATGTGGAGAAAGATGCTAAGAAACACCCTGAAGGTTATTAACCAAATTTTAACCATTTTTGGGTGGTGGGATTATGACAACGTTCTTCTTTGGGCTTTTCCTCTTATTTTTTAATTTTTTTTACAGTGAAATGTATTAGTTTTATAATCAGAAAGAAATAAACGAATTTATTTTTGAGACAGGACCTCACTCTGTTGCCCAGGCTGGATGCAGTGTAGTCATTGTAGATCACTGCAGACTCAAACTCCTGGGCTCAAGCAATCCTGATACCTCAGCCTCCCTAGTAGCTGGGCCTACAGGCATGCACCACCACGCTCAGTTAATTTTTTAATTTTTTGTAAAGATGGGGTCTAACTATATTGCCCAGGCTGGTCTCAAACTCCTGGGCTCAGGCGATCCTCCCACCTTGGCCTCCCAAAGTGCTAGGATTACAGGCGTGAGCAACCACACCTGTCCAAATAAATTTCTTTTTAAATTGCAGGATAACCTGTAAGAAAAATAAAATAAATAATTAATTAGTTAAAACCAAAAACACCTAGATACAGTTAGCTCACGCCAGGACTTGGAGTTGCACTTGCTCTGTTTCATTCTTCTTTTGCATAATCTTCAACTCAAAATCATTGTGAAAACCTAAATTCCCCCCCCCAAAAAAATCCAGCCTCCTGGACAGAATTTCTGCTCACTTCATGCAGAAAGAGGGTTCCTGGGTAACGGTAGTGATCCCTGGAATCTTAGGGGTCTCCTTTCATTGAGTCAGGAAATGGGGGGGTCTGCTGGTGACCAAGGCTGCAGCCCAGGGCTCGAGAAGGGGCAGAATCCCAACTCTCCCGCAGCTGCAGGGCAAGGACACTAGATTTAACGTACTGGGGATGGCGTCAAGCATGGTGACAGTGGACAGCTAATTATTTATTTTTGAGATTACCCACTTGACAATATTCTTTCTGTTTTTAATTCAAACTTGATCTTTCTTAAAATATTCTTTGCTAGAGCCGATAACGGAACGAGCTGTGTTGCTCTCAGGGGTACAGAGAGGGGCAGAGGTGAAGGGAAGGAAGCCGCCAGCCAGGAGGAGCCAAGTCATGCTGGAGGGTCCTCAGAAGTGGAGCTGAAATGGTCTGCCAGTGTCCCTCACTCTCTCTCCATTTCCTCCCCTGTAAAAAGAGGGGTTCTCCCATTTGAGTGAGTAGTGGAATGCCCAGGGAGCTAATAACACACAGCCTTAGGCTCACTGAAGAAAGTCAGGCCCAGTGGCTTGGTATATTTACTGGTAGTCTCTCAGATGAGAACTACAGGAAAAGTGATCCACACCAGTGCTGCTTTAATTTGCAGAGGAATTCCTGGGAGATCTTGTTAAATAAAGTATAGATTCTGCTTCAGTAGGTCATTGGACTTCAGACCAAAGGTGCTGCTGCTGCTGCTGCTGCTGCTGCTGCTGCTGGTCTGAGAAGAGAGGTTTGGAAGTCTCTTTGCAGTCCCCCAGCGTTCGGTTCTGCCACCCGCCCTCCCTGCCTTCCTTCTCTCCCTGAATTCAGTAGCCATGAGCCCCTGCTGTGTGCAACCATGACAGGTTTCCCAGGTTGTGCGGCTTCATGGCCAGCCTTGGGGTGAAGCAGATTGGCAGTGCCCCTAGAAATTGTGTCCCTTTAGTAAGTTGCTTCTCCTGGAAGGGTCTTACTCCCTGATTAAGAGTCAAGGGTCAGCGGTAACAGGTGGTTCACACCTGTAATCCTAGCACTCTAGGAGGCTGAGGTGGGAGGATCTCTTGAACTCAGGAGTTCGAGACCAGCATGAGCTACAGCGAGACCCTGTCTCTATGAAAAATAGAAAAATGAGCCAGGCATGGTGGCAAGCACCTATAGTCCCAGCTACTCGGGAGGCTGAGGCAGGAGGATCGCTTGAGCCCAGGAGTTTGAGGTTGCTGTGAGGTAGGCTGACTCTCGACAAAGTGAGATTCTATCTCATAAAAAAAAAAGTTGGGGGTCTTCAGGGTCTTAAGCAGGGAAGGGGTATTGCCAGCTCTGCCACTTACTGAGTTCACTCTGAAAATCTGAATGGAGACCAGGAGGCCCCAGCCCACTGTCATTCTACCATTCCCAGCTTTGTCTCAGGATCGCCCAGAGGAGGTCAGCTCCACTTCTGACGACCATCCAGCATGACTTGGCTCCTCCTGGCTGGCGGCTTCCTTCCCTTCACCTCTGCCCCACTCTGTACCCCTGAGAGCAACACAGCTCATTCCGTTATCGGCTCTAGCAAAGAATATTTTAAGAAAGATCAAGTTTGAATTAAAGACAGAAAGGAGGCCTGCATGGGTTTTTATAGATTTTGGAGCAAAATTCTTTCACAATACAACATGACACAGTAAAAAGGGCCTTGGAACATGGTTCCCCAACTTTGCTAAATATTGAAATCATCCGGGCATCTTTTAAAACTCCTGGTGCCCATTCTCACTGCAGATCAATTAAATCTGAGAGTCTGAGGTGGGAGCTAGGTGTCAGTATTTTTCAAAGATACCCGGGTGGTTCCACTGCACAGCCAAGGTTGGGAGCCCCTGGCCTAGAGAGGAGGAGGCCTACGTTCCCGTCTCAGCTCCCCCAGTCTGGCAGGGAGACCCTAGGGCAGCATCTTCTCTTCCCCAGGTTCAGTTTCCTCACCTGTGAAATGACGCAGTAATTGTAGTTCTGAAATTATATTTAAATTTCACACAGGCCAGGCGAGGTGGCTCAAGCCTGTAATCCTCGCACTCTCGGAGGCTGAGGCGGGCGGATTGCTTAAGGTCAGGAGTTCGAAACCAGCCTGAGCAAGAGCAAGACCCCCAGTCTCTACTATAAATAGAAAGAAATTAATTGGCCAACTAATATATATAGAAAAAATTAGCCGGGCATGGTGGCGCATGGCTGTAGTCCCAGCTACTCGGGAGGCTGAGGCAGAAGGATTGCTTGAGCCCAGGAGTTTCAGATTGCTGTGAGCTAGGCTGATGCCACGGCACTCACTCTAGCCTGGGCAACAAAGTGAGACTCTGTCTCAAAAAAAATAATAATTAATTTCACACAGAAGGCCCCCAAATTAGAGACATATATGAAACTTAATTGAATTCCAGAATTACTGGAAGGAATAACAACTTAGATCTCAGAGAATAGAAATAGTGCTAAATTCATCAAGGTTTTCCCAAGCTCCAAGACTCTTACTATACTCTACACATCGAATTGCAAGTAATACACACAAGATTCCTAACTGGGTCATATTTACCATGAAGTGCTCTCCAGGGGAAACGCACATCACAGCATACTAAAATAGGGAACAGATATTCTTCTTTTCTTTTCTGGTCTTTAAGTATGAAACCAGTTACCTACCATTGTGATGAGCAGGGCTCCTTCCAGGCAAGTACACCTGGGGAGTGGCGCCGAACTTTATACTGGAGAGGGCAGCCGCGCATCCAACGTCGTCAGGGTGCCAAGAACACGTTGGATGTTTACAGAAGGTTGACTGTCAACAGGAAACTATGGTTTCAGGTGATTTATGGTTATTCATAAATCAGGTCTCCACCCCAATTATGTATTTATCCTGTCCCCACCCCTGATTTGCATTGCCCTTGATCTCAAAGAGCAGAAGAGAACTCCTCTTTACCGAGCTTTTACCCCAACTGGGTAGATTGCTAGGCACATGCCATGTTTTTATTTTATTTCACACACAAAGAAATGGGGGCTCAGGATGCCAGCACAACAGCCAAGTGGGGAAGCTGAGTTTCTGGAAGGCATAAGAATAGCCCAGTGGGTCAGTGCAGCAGGGCCCTTCAGGCCTAGGGCTGTGGCCCAGACAGCACTGCCCTCAGGGTCTGGCATGAGACAGCAGAAATGGCCAGCCATCCTACGGGCATGGGAGAGTAGCACCTTGACAGCCCAGGTTTCTCTAACAAGCCACGTGGGCTCCAGCTTTGTGACCTTTCTAAAGGTCATCTTGAATCTTCAGTCTTCACTCCCCACTGCCTCAAGCAAGCCTTCCTTCTCTTTGTTCAATAATGATCTCACTCAATAACCCTGCTTGCCCTCTTCATGGCCAAGATGGCCTCTGGGGAACAACAATGAGCCAAACCTCCTGGTGTATTGGAGGGACTTACTATTTGTATCAGTTTACTCTGGCTGCCATGACAGGACACCACAAACTAGATGGCTCAGGCAAAAGAAATGTATTTGCTAACAGTTTTGGGGACTAGACATCTAAGATCAAGATATTGGGGGAAGGTGGGTTTCTTTTGAGGCCTCTCTTCTTGGTTTACAGATGGCCACCCTCTTGCTGCCTCCTCACATGGCACCTCCTCCCTGCACGTCCAGATTCTTTCTTTTTTTTTTTTTTTTTTGAGACAGAGTCTCGCTTGTTGACCAGGCTAGAGTGAGTGCCGTGGCATCAGCCTAGCTCACAGCAACCTCAAACTCCTGGGCTCAAGCGATCCTCCTGCCTCAGCCTCCCGAGTAGCTGGGACTACAGGCATGCGCCACCATGCCCAGCTAATTCTTTCTATATATATATTTTTTAGTTGGCCAATTAATTTCTTTCTATTTTTAGTAGAGACAGGGTCTCGCTCTTGCTTGGGCTGGTTTTGAACTCCTCACCTTGAGCCAACTGCCTGCCTCGGCCTCCCAGAGTGCTGGGATTACAGGTGCGAGCCACTGTGCCCCGGGTCCTCAAAGCTCTTTTGAGCTTGCCACATTGGCCCTCTCTAGTACCATCCTCTGCCACCCCTAAAACCAACCTCACCATCCCCAACACAATTTAGAGTGTGTCTCCTACTCCCTTGAAGGGCTGTACCCCTGGCTGCCTTCCCACTCCCCAGGGACACCACACACACTCCCACAGGCTTCTGCCTTCACCTATGATGTTTAAAGTGTTCATTGACTCTGAGTTCCAGGAAGTCAGGGGCACATTCATCATTCATTGTGGCCCCCTCGGTTTCTTCTGAAACACCAAGTTTAAGGAACTTCCCGCAGTGTGAGTCCCACCTCATGTTGGTAGCAGCCAGGACTTGCTGCCCTCACATCTTTGCCTCTGGGGCATAGGCATGTCGCCCAGCTGCACCAACGCACTGAGCAGAGCCCCTTCAAAGAGGACGCAGGGAAACTGGCATCCTGCAGAATATTCCCAGGAATATATCCCAGGAATGATGGTTCCTAGGAAGGGTTTCTGGAGTCCAGGGTGTGTTGTGGTGTTACTGAGGCCACACGGTGGTGCAGTTTGAGTTATTTACCTAAACTTCTGGCAACCAAACCTCTGTCTCTGGTCTTTATTAGAGGCTTGACATTGTCTAATAAATTCCTGCTCAAAAAGCTATTAGAGCAGGTTCTACTGTTTGCAGTTAAGAACTCTGTGACCAAGACGGTGGCCATAACTTATTCCTGTCAATGTCCCTCCCAGTGACTGGCACAGTGCCTGGCACAGAGCAGCTGTGCAGAACAGGATTACATCTGCTGTTAATGCAGGCATTCCCAAGCAGGAAAAATATTCTGACACAGACAAAAGAACAAAGTGAAAAACGCGTTGTGGGAACCCGGCTGGCTCTGCAGCCGTGTTTCCACAGGGGGTCGTGTCTTGGTGGGGTTCGGTGTTGCAGGCTGTGAAGCTTGGCATGGAAAAGCCGGGTATGTGGACAAAACCACTGCTTGTCCTGGTCTGTGAACCCGCAGGGTTGCACCAGTCTCCCAAGAAGCCGATACGTGAATGTCCACCTGACAGGGTCCTTTTATCACCCTGAGGAGTGAGAAAGGGAAAGCAGCAACAGGCACAGACAGGCTGCCCCACAGCAGCACCGCAAGAAGGTGTTTCCCTGTGGTGTCCCGAGTACCCTACTCCACAGGTGAGCTCCCCAAGGACCTCCCCACTCCCTGGCAGCTCCTGAACTACAGCGCCTGAACTGGAGCCCCTCTCTGCTGTATCTTGCTCTCCTGTTGACCGCCATCCATGCGCCCTGTTGTCATAAAGCACCATCTTACAAACACTAGAAAGGCATGTCAAACAGTTCTAAAGGCCGGAAGTCCGAGATCAGGGTGCCGGCACGGTCAGTTCTGGTGAGGGCCTCTTCCAGGGTTGCAGACAGCAGTCCCCTCACGTGGCAGAAGAGAGAGAGAGCTCTCTGGGGTCCTTTTTATAAGGGCACTAATTTCGTTCACAAGGCCTCCACTCTCATTGCTGAATTACCTTCCAAAGGCCCCACTTCCTGATCTCATCACATGAGGAGTTAGGGTTTCAACACATGAATTTTGCAGGGACACAAAGTTTGTCCATTATACCCACAGTCTCTTCCTAAACACCACCCGAGGAGTTGGGTGAGTCCAGGATCAGAGCAAGGAGATTTCATGTAAAGCTAAGACAGATGTAGGTTCTAACCTGAGTTCTTCCCTACATGACTGTGTGACCTCAACAAGTTTCTTAACATCTCTGGCCCTTACTTTACTCATTTATTAAATAGGGATGATCATCCCAACCTCAAAGGATTGGCATAAAAAGATAAAATAAATAAATAAGAGAAAAATAAATAAAATTTTTAAAAAGATTGGTGTGAAGAATGAAGCAGAAAATGTGTGTAAAGCATTCATTCCAGTGCCTGGTAAAGGGCAGCGTCATTGGAGGGAAGGCAAAAATGTCACCTCTACCTTCTTAGGGTTTTCAGTTGGGCCTGAGAACTTAATTGACATAAAACAGATGAACAGGAGAAAAGCATGCCAATTTACAGGTTTTATATGACACAGGAGCTGTCACAGGAGATGAGGACACAAAGAAGCAGCTGGAGTTGAACCCTTACATACTGAGTCGGAGAAAGTCCTAAATTGTGGCCAGGCGTGGCAGCTCATGCCTGTAATCATAGCACTCTGGGAGGCCCAGGAGAGAGGATCACTTGAGGTCAGGAGTTCAAGACAAGCCTGAGCAAGAGTGAGACCCCCTTCTCTACAAAAAATACAAATATTAGCAGGGCATGATGACATGCACCTGTAGTCCCACCTACTTGGGAGACTGAGGCAGGAGGATCATCTGAGCCCAGGAGTTTGAAGTTGAAGTGAGCTACAATGACACCACCACACTCTAGCCAGGGTGATGGAGTAAGGCCCTGTCTCAAAAAAACAAAAGGGCAGTAAATTGTGAAAACATGATAAGACAAAAGGGCTTGGGCTAGGGTAGTTCGTTGGGTAGAGACATGACTAGGAAGAGAAAGGTAAATTTAACAATGTTTGTACAGATTTCTCTTGGCTTCAACCTCCCATTCTTGATGGTGACAATATTATTTTCCTTCTGGTGCAGGAAGCGCATCTTGCATATGGGGGAGGGTCAGAGCAACCTTCTTGCACATTAATTTTTTTTTTTGTTTTTTGAGACAGAGTCTCCCTTTGTTGCCCAGGCTAGAGTGAGTGCCATGGCAGCAGCCTAGCTCACAGCAACCTCAGACTCCTGGGCTCAAGCGATCCTCCTGCCTCAGCCTCCCAAGTAGCTGGGACTACAGGCATGCGCCACCATGCCCGGCTAATTTTTTCTATATATATTAGTTGGCCAATTAATTTCTTTCTATTTATAGTAGAGACGGGGTCTCACTCTTGCTCAGGCTGGTTTTGAACTCCTGACCTCGAGCAATCCGCCCGCCTCGGCCTCCCAGAGTGCTAGGATTACAGGCGTGAGCCACCGCGCCCGGCCACATTAATTTTTTTTAAGTCTTTAGCTCCAAATAATCCTTATGCCAAAGTGGTTTATTTGGGGGCGGCATGTTCTAAACTCCATAATCATCATTTTTTATAATGGCTGGTACCACCAAGCAACAGCAGCTTGCTGTGTCCATCTCCCTGGGGTCTGATGGCCAAAGCCTTCTCTATGCTGGGAAGTGCTAGCAATGCCCTGCTCAATTCTGACTCTGTGATGTGCTGTCTGCCTTCACACTGGTTACAGTTCCACAAGCCACAACGTGAGGCCACACATCCCTGGAGACACACTCTTGCCATCATATGTTCCGAAGCCGGTGATTCTGGGGAAGAGGGAACGTGGAAGGAGCTACCTTCTGTAGGTGGTTGATCTCATTCCATGGAGGTTTTTACTCACTAAGTCCACGTCAGCGGTAGGTTCAACTTCACATCTTATGAGATTCCTTCCCCATCATATCTGCTAGGAGAACCTTTTCTCCTGATGACCTCCAAACCTCACTTATCTGTAGTTTTGGTCTTCTTGTCATTTCACAGACGGGCCTTTGAGGAAAGATGGGCCAAGCAAATATTGGGAAACACAGGAGTTCTAATACATCTGTTTGACAAATACTCATTAAGTGCCTGTTCAATGTGTTCTCATTGCACAGCAAGTACTTCCTTTTAGTTCCAACCTGGGCTTATCTCATTTTCAAA